TCTCTCTCTGTCAAATAAATAAATAAAATCTTTAAAAAATAAAATAAAATAAAATAGCAGTGATTAAAACCCAAACTAAATAAAGTTTTTTACAAAAGAGCGATGAGCTTATTAGGGAGCTCTCCTCAAAACTGACCCTTAGATGTGTTGTGAGTGTGATGAGGGACCAGAAGGCAAGCTGAGAACAAAGCACAAGCTGACACCCCGCAAATTGAACCCTACAGGCACTGGCCTTTGGGAGTTGCCATAGTAACAGAGAGACACTAAGTTAATGTGGTCCTTGGGGCCTCCCTCAGTCTGCGTGGAGTGGTATAAGAGAATCCCACAGGCTGGGTAGCTTATACCCAAATTCATATCTCAGACTCACCCTACCCCGCTGGTGGCACATGAAAGGCCCTGTGTCCCAGTAACACTTCTCTACCTGCACCTCACCCTGACTGGGACAACCCTTGCTGTCCTAAAGCTAAGGGAAGGAAAAACAAATGGTTAATTATAGAGATTATAGTCCTGCAAGACGTGAGTCTCCCTCAGTTTACAAATGTCTTAGAGATTTACAAGAAAAAAGCATTCTTACCAATAACCTAACTTCAAGAAGGAAGTGTCTTAATATTAATGCTTTGCTAGAGGGAAAAACCACCTTGACTTGACAATGGCAAGTCCTCCAATATCTTGTAGGTCCTCTTTAGCGTATGAAATTTCTTTTGAAAACCTCCCTTTTCTTTACCTCCCCCAACTCCCAAGTATATAATAGTCACCCCTCACAGTCCAGGTGCAGCAGCACTTTCTGCCCATGGGTCCTGTCCCTGTGCTTTAATAAAATCACCTTTTTGCATCAAAGATGTCTCAAGAATTCTTTCTTGGCCATCAGCTCCTGACCTCACCAACATTCAAAAACTACATCAGCTCTCTGGCCTGATATTCCAGTTTTGGAATGAGTCAACATGGACTCGACTGTAACAGGGTAGGAAGGGCCCCAAAAGTCCCGTGTCCCATAGAAAGTGCATATTCAAGAATGAAGGCTGACTCTTTCCAGCAGCATCTCAGCTTGACAGGAATAAGTGGTACCTATCCCTTCACAGGAAATTTTCAGCTCCACATTGTAGCCAAAGCCACTGGTCCTAGGAACCCTCATGCATGGCCCCGATCACTGATGGTTTAGGTCAGCTGAAACCTAATGGTGTCCCCTGGGCCACCGGGTCTGGTTAGTCTCATGCCACCTCTGCAGAACCGAAATCAGAGGCAGGTCCTTCCTTCATTGTCACATCTCAGAAACCTGGGCTGCTGCCAAGGGTCCAGCTGTTCAGTATGTTGTTTGGAAAACTATGGACCTGCAGATTAAGGACCCCCTCCATCCACTCACTGCCTTGTTGGGCTATGTACTGTGGAAACCAATTGCAGTGCTGAAATGCTTGTCTGGGTCACTCATTTAGATGCCTATGGTAAGGGTCTGTTCTTCACAGAGACTGACTAGAATCAAGCTGCTGATTGAGCCTGTTTCTGACGCAAGAGGTATCTCTGCATGGCACACTTGTGACCCCCCCCCCAGCATTATTGAGGTATATTTGAGAAATAAAATCATATGACACTTAAAATGCACCCTTAGCTATGAAGACCCATAGTCTCAGTGAGCTGGTAGGGTGGTGGGGAGATCTTGGGCACATGGAGGTCAAGGATTGAAATATGCAACACCCCCACCGTTCCCTTTTTACAGGGAGCAGCAGTTTCCTAAGTGGAGTGGTGAGGGGTGTTTGGAAAAGAAACTTGGGTTGTTCAGATGTGTCCAGGAGTCCTAGCTCAGCCTTGCCCTTCAAGAGGTGCAACGAAGGGGGAAGAATCATCCCAGGCCTTCCCTTCCCCATCCCCAACTCCCTCTGTTAAGGTGGTCCTCAGAGGTGGGTGGGGGACTTTGATGAGTGAGGCTTGGAACAGAGATTAGTCAGAGGCAACAGTGCTCCCACTCTGTGTGAGGAGACCGACTCCGACGCATGGTCACAGTGCCAGCCCTAGGGATGGATTTTCGGAGACAGAGACAGACGGACACGCGGGGTTGTGATGGTGGTGGTTGTAGGTGGTTCTGGGGGCTGGAGGACCAAGGCTGAAGAGAAGCAGTGAAGGGGAGACATTTATGCAGAGATCTGAGCATTAAATAGGAACTGCTCTCCAAGTAAAGGGATGGTTTGGATAAATGCTGTTTGACGTGAAAAAGCATGATGTCGTGAGAGGGCACGAATTTTCCAGGACCGCTGACGTGTAAAACCGGGAGTGGAAGATGTGCCTAAACCCGGTTTAGGAACCAGACCCACAAGGGCCTTGAATATCAGCCCGAGGGTTTTGAGTTTCATCCAGAGTAAGGCAAGTCACCACCCTTCTTTGGGCCTCCGCATAATAAGGCAAAAACCAAGGCTCACTCCCGTCTCCTCCCTCACAAAGTTGCCGCTAATAGGCCCACCAGCCACCAGGACACTGGAGCAGGAGCCAAAACTTGCAGGCTGTCTGGGTACCCCCCCACATGACGTCATGCAATCCTAGCAACGCATGCGCAGAAGCTTTGTGCCGGACTCGCCAGAGGGCAGGTTTTGCCTCCTTTGAATCCCTCCGTTTATTGGCTAGGAACAACTGCTCGTCTCGCTCGTTGTTAGCGGCGACGTAGGCGGGTACAATCTTGGTCTCTAAGATACCGCGTACTTCCGTTTCCTTCCCCTCTCCGCTGTACTGAGGCAGCCTGACCTCAATGCCTTCGACCAATGGCAAATGGGCAGTGGGCGGGGCCTCGTTTGTCCGGACCAACGAAATGCGGGTTTGGCCCGGCGTAGCGCGGCCAATGACCGTGGGGCAGCCCCTGTAAAGTGGCTCGGGCGCCCCCACGCTCGTCTTTCGTCCTCTTTCCAGCCCTACCCCTCCCTGCCCCTTTTTCAGCACGGCGCCGGCCGCAGCCTGACAGGGACGGGACGGAGCCAAGATGGCGGCCGCCGACGGCGACGACTCGCTGTACCCCATCGCGGTGTTGATAGACGAGCTTCGCAACGAGGATGTTCAGGTCCGGAGGCCCCGGGGGTCTTGGGGAATACGGGAAGGGGTAATGGGGGCACGGACGGCCCTCGCGGAGAAGGCTCAGTGTTCGCTGGGAGTGGCGGAAGGGGGCGGCCGCCAATCAGCGCCCAGCTCTCACGTCTCCAGGACCCCAGGCTGGATGAGGCGGCGCACGGGATTGGGTATTAGCCCACCGGAGGGCGGGAGGCAGGCCACCCTGGAGGGGTCCCGGGCCTGCCAAAGTGCGCGCGGCGGCCCGGGTCCAAGGAAGCCGCGACCGGGGAAGGGGTCGGGCCACTGGGTGGGGCAGAGGGAAGGGCTCGGTGATTGGCGGCTGCCGCTGAATGGCCCCTTGGGGATGGGGGCGCGCGGCTTGCTCCGAGTGGGGGAGGGGCCCTGGTAGGTTTTCTCCTTACTCTGCTCCGGCGGCTGGGCCTCCGCGCTGTGGGGTGAACTTTCTAAATGGGGATTGAGAGATGACAGCTCCCTTTCCCAGTTCCTGCTCTCCCTTCCTCTTCTGTTTTCGTGTAGATTCCCGAAGGGGAGGGGCGGCGAAATCACTCCATTCCCAAGGGGGCAACTAGCCAAATCTAAACGCGGATGTAGGTAGAAATTCTCCCCCCTTCTGGGATCTTGCCGAGCTGCGGGTGGGCAGTTTACTAAACAGGCTAACACGTTTCTGGTGAGTGGGACGGGGGCCCGGCTGAGCCACGCTGGCGAATGGTTGAGAAGACTAAGGACTCCAGGGTTTGTCCATCCCAGCTCCACCTCCCACCCGCCTTGTGACCTTGTGCAAATTACTTCACGGCTCTGGGCCTGTTTTCCCTGAAATGTGGGCTAATAATAGTTTAGGCCTCCCTGGGTGGTTGTGATGGACTAGATGAGTTAAGACTACAAGTAAAATAGAACGGTGCCTAGTTGTTATATAAAGGCCCAGTAAATGTTAGCGGCAGTTATTGGGAGTAGTAATTGAAGAGCTCCCATTCCACTTATAGGGGCCTCAATTTTTGTTTATGAAATTGAGCGGACGTCACTGGGCCCAGCCTCTGAAGTTGGAGGTACATCACTGGTTGTGGAGTCAGACAGACTGCTGTTGTACTCCTGGCGCTTCTACTTCTTGCTAATTGACATGGGCAAGTTGGGTAATCTCCTTAGTCCTTGGCTTTCCTCTTCTCTCAAATGGAGGTAATTATCTAGTTCATAGGGCTCTTGTGTGAATTCGTTTGTTCAGTAAACACTTGCCACCTATCAGGGCGCTGAGGACATAATGGTGACACCAGTTGGTATTCAGGAGGCACCAGCTGTGAAACAGCTGAATACATTATGAACAGGTGCGAGATGTGGGAAGACAACAACAGGGTATTGTGATGGTGAATCAGTATTTATTGGGCCTCAGCTCTGAGTAGGGCATTATTTTAGGCACAGGTATACAACAGGGAACCAAAACTAGTGGCCTCATGGAGCTTTATGTCGCAGTGCGGGGAAACTGACGATGAGACAATTAAGTTAAAATGTATACTATGTAAGATGGCGGTAAGTGCTTTGGAGAAAAATGAAGCAGGGATGTGGAGGACAGGAAAGTGTTACAAGTTTAGATAGAATGGCTAGGGAAGGCCTTATTGCGAAGGGGACATTTGAGCAGAGATGTGAACTGAGGAGCAGGCCCTCATAGATATCTGGGGAATAGCATTCCAGGTAAAGGAAGCGAGTGCAGAGGTCCTGAGGCAGCAATATGCAATGCATGTTCTGTGAACTGCAGGAAGCCAGTGTGACTGGAGCCAAGAGAATGAGCCGTTGGTGTTGGGAGATGAAAATGAAAGGGGCTATGACTCAGAAGGATCTTGTGAGCAGTCACTTAAACCAGGTGTTGCCAGATCATTGAGCACGATTCAAGAAGGAGTTCTTGAGATGTTTTACAGTGCAACTTGACAAGTTTATTTAGTAGCATGGGGACCTGTGGGTAGAAGGAGCTGTACTTCTGCTGTATGAAGGCAGTGGTTATATGCTTAGTGCTCAAGGGGCAGGGGACGTGCAGGGAGTATTAGATCATAAATGTTTTCTTTGGATTTCTACTCGTAAAACTACTTTCACAAGGTTTCTCTGGTGCTTATCATTTAGCTTGGTATTAACTCTTGGTGAGATGTATAGGCAGTCATGAGACCCTTTAAGAACGTAGCAAACAGCTCGTATTTGCTCCTTACTGAAACTATGCAGGCTATACCTCAGCCTTCTGGGCTAAAGGTGAACATTTTCCTGCTTCTTTCCCTCATCACCAGGATTGGCAAACGGCCAGGGGTGGCCCTTTGCGTTTTTATTTTTTAATAAATTATTATTTGAAAACACAGACCCTTTCATTTACATATTATCCATGGCTGCTTTTGTGACACAACAGCAGGGTAGAATTGAGTAGTTGCAACAGAGACCGTTTGGCCCCTTAAAGCCTATAATATTTCCTACCTAGTTCTTTACAGTAAAGAGAATGCCAGCCTTTGACTTAAGCCACCTCTGTATTAAATCCCATCCTGTCTTCCCCACCCTGCCCACCTCCCTGCCCCCAAAGTGGCCCATGTTATCAGGTCCTTACAAACCTTGGTAGACATGTGCTGTTCAGTGTGGTGGCCACTTTGTGGCTGTTGAACACATGAAATGTGGCTAGATTGAGTTGAGATGTACTTGTAAATAAAATACATACCAGATTTCAAAGACATGCTATGGAGAGTGTTAAACATCTCAGTGAAGCTTTTCATCTTGATTACCCGTTGAAATGATAAAAATTTTGGGTTGAATAAAATACATTAAGATTAATTTTGTATGCGTATTACTTTTTTAAAATGTTACCAGAAAATATAAACTTACATGTATGGCTTGCGTTTATTGTCTGCATTTTCTTTCTTTCTTTCTTTTTTTTTTTTGGTCTGCATTTTTTTTCTACTGGGTTTTTATTTTTTTAAACACTAAATATTTTGTTCTACAACTTGCACTTTTCACTTAGTGTTTCTTCCGTATCTTTTCATGCAGGTACATACAGATCTGTGTTTAAAAGGAGTTTGAACATTTTCCCAAGAATCAGAGACCAAATCTCAGAGATTGCATCTGTGCCCATGTGTGTGGGCTTTCTGAGGACAGGGCTTGGCTCTGATTCATCTCTTAGGATTCAGTGGCTCAGTACAGGCCTCAGAATTGAGGAGCTCAGAAAGGGTTGAATAAAAATAACAGCTGGTATCTGTTGGGTGCTTGCTCTAAGCTAACTGCTACAAAGGGCAGTACATTTACGAGCTTCCTGAATTCTCAGCCACCCTCTGAAGTAGGTCCTGTGCGTACCTACGTTTTCCTGATGAGGAAATGAAGCACAGCATAGTATGTAACTTGGCCAAATTCATGCAGCTGAGAAGTGGAGGACCCAGGAAAGGTTCCCAAAGGAAGTGTAAGACCTGAGGAGAGAAGAGAATTTCGGGTGGACAGAGACTTGCTGACCATATCCATATGCCAGGTATTTTAATTGGTCTTTAATGAGACAGTCTAGGATACTAGGAAGAACATGGGTTTTGGAATCCTCTAGTCTTGATTGATTTGCTCAGCAAATACATGTTCAGCACCTCCTATGTGCCAGACTGTTTTAAATGCTAGAATATGGCAGGGAGTAAAACAGCAAAGCTGCTGCCTTCATGGGGCTTACGGTCTAGTAGAGGAGGCAGGCAGTGGATCAGGAGTGTGATGTCAGCGGCAGTAATTGCTTACTAGAAGAATAAGGCAGGCATCAGGGTCTAGAGCAAGCCCAGGGCTGCTGGTTTTTTGTTTGTTTGTTTGTTTAATTTTATTTATTTATTTTTAAAGGTTTTATTTATTTGAGGGAGAGGGAGAAGCAGACTCCCCACTGAGCCCGATGTGGGGCTCAATCCCAGGACTCGTAGATCATGACCTGAGGGAAAGTCAACTGCTTAACCGGCTGAGCCCCCCAGGCGCCCCCCAGGGCTGCTTTTTAGATAGGGTAGTGAGGGAAGGTGATAGTGGAGGAAGTGAGGATCTCTGAGGAAGTGATAGTGAGCAAGGACTTGAAGAAATGAGGGAGAATGAATGGGGGGGGCAGTCCAAACAGTTGGTACAAAGACCCTGAGGTGGGAGCATGCTCATTGTGTTAGAGAAGAGCAAGCAGGCCAGCGTGGCTAAAGCAGAAAGAATGGCAAAGTGGTGAGAGGTGAGGACTAGTCCAGACTGAGATAAGTGAAGGCCCGTGGACCAGAGCGAGGGCTTCTCTGAGTTTCAGGAGCTGTTGCAAGGATTTGCGTGGAAGAATGACATGTTCTGACTTAATTCTAAAGGATCCTCCCGGCTGTTGAGTAGGGGCCGGGCAGGAGCAGATAGACCTATTGGGGTGTCCTTTCAGAGCACCCAGGACTGGTGTTGGCATGGATGTAGTGAGAAGAGGTTAGATTCTGGGTATGTTGAGAGGAGGGCTGTTGGGGTTTGCTGGTGGATAGGATGTAATGTGTTGGGTGGTGAAGGGGGAGTCAGGGATGACTGTGCTTTGAATCCCAGCTCTGCCAGTTTGTTCCGTGTGTGTGCTTGGACCAGTTCCTTTTCTTCATTGGGCCGGGATTCCTCAACTGTAGAGCGGGACTAATGATGAGGAAGCAGCATCTGCTGTGGAGGTTGTGAAGATGCAGTGGAATCGGCAAATTAAGTGGCTGCCTAGAAGTAAGCATTCAGTAAGTGACGACCTTGTTCAGTTGTTATGGTAGCTTATTGTTTTATACTTGGGAAAATGATGTGCAAAGAGATCGCGTCCCTTACCTAAGGCCTCCCCAGTCAGTAGGAGGCAGAGGCTGGACTGCAGTATCCGTAGGTGTTTGGGGCCCCATGTTGCTTACAGTGAGGTCCACTGGTTGAGAGGCTAGATCTCTGTGTTAGACCTTCTCTGTGTTTTCTCATCTGTAAAATGGGATTTTGTAATTTAGGAGTTTGTAAGGGGGTTGTGAGGATTAAATAGTGTGGTACATGGAAAATGCT